CCCATGTCTTTTGGTCAATATCTCCCTGTCTATTTCTGTTGGCCCATTTCTCATGAAATGTTCATGCACAAAGACAACATTAAAGCAATTAACATAAACATAAAATCTGTATAAAGCATGTGTTACAGTTTCTGGCACCTGTGCATTTAGTACTTTGCATCATCTCTTATCAAGAAAAGCACTGAGTCTCCTATAATACTGGATGAGATGGCACAGCACTAAACCGAACTGAGAACATCCTTCAGAACGTGGTCCTTGCATTATAAGTTCAAGCTGAAAAACAACAAAGAGCTTTTCATAGACTTTACTATGAGTGCCAATAATCCTGAAAGACCCTCCAGATCTAACTATGCTGTGTGTGTCAGCTATTGATGTTCGATCACAGCCATATGAAGGTGCAGAAGAGCCTTTATCCATGTAGAAGCTACTACTTCTGGATGTCCTCTTGCGTTTTGTCCTTGGTACAGTACCAATCAAAAGTTTTAATTACACCTTCTCACTTCAAAGATAAAGGTGCCAAAAAGGGTTCTGTGAAGTGATGCCATGGTAGAACTACTTTAGATTCCCTACAAAATTTCAGTGGATTGTTATTTTGAGTGTGAAGAACATTAACGTTAAAAGAGCCTCCACATAATGTAAACGTGGTTGTACCAGTTAAACGTTCTACTAGAATCTTATGCCCAAGCCAAGAGCCATTTGACAACATTTTGGGAGCCTAAGTCTATATTTGCAGGTTAATCTTGCTCTTGTGTGTATGCAATCTACATATCGCTGTTGTCGGAAGAAAACCTTGTATCTCCAAAATGAAAACTTTACAAGAGAAGGAAAAAACCTACTTTACTTTTAATGTAAGTCAATGAAACCAGACATATTTCCAAGTCATTTTGGTCCATATCTTTTGGTCCATTCATCATGAAATTTAGAGACAATGTAAAGGGCAACAGGCATTTTCAAATTGTGTCAAAAACTGAAATTTGACAAAAATGGAGATACAAGGTTTTCTTCCGACAACAGTGATATAGAAAGTATGTCCTATGGATAACTTTCTATGGCCTAATATATGTCCAACGTATTTGGCCAAAATTTGCACCTGTCTATGTAAACTTTGGCAATGCTACTCTTGGGTGGTTCTTATGTAAGCAGGACCCTCAGCAATCACAAAGCTGATGTGGTTTGTCTCAACCCCACACAGCTTAAACAAAACTGGATTCCCCCTCTTTGTGTTTGATTCAGAAAAAACCTATAGAGAACAACCAAGTGAAAGCTAATCTAGCAAACATAACCAAATCGTTTGCCCATCCATTCCTTTATCTGTCCGTTCATCTGTCCGTTAGTCTGTTTTGTTCTCATATTCAACCAGCCTTTTTTCTAAATGCACATCCAACAGTGAAGTAATAAGAACTTAAGCTTCTTTAAGATGCCAACATATAAAGTGTTTAATGAGTCGTAGAAGTGTGGATAGTGAACAGCACCACCTGCATTTTTACACATCTCTCCCTGTTCACACTGTTATGCTTAGTTTAGCTCCAGAGGCGGAGCAACCAAGGGATGTTAATCAAAACTATCTTCTGTTTTAGATTCATCAAACTACATTGTTGTTGTCTTGATGCAGATTTGTACACTCTTGGCATTATTTCAAGCAGCTTAACAAGGAGCCACCTGGGATGCTGCTTTTCCAACATGCTGCTTGAGGAAGTTTCACATATGCTGAGACCTTGATGACAGCTGCAAACTATTTTTGCTGACGGAACAAAACCTCTTATTTCCATTTTTGGACATTTATTGGCCCATGGAAAGTTATCCGTAGGACATGCTTTGTATATTGCTGTTGTCGGAAGAAAACCTTGCATCTCCATTTTTGTCAATTTTCAGTTTTTTTACATAATTTGAAAATACCCGTTGTCCTTTACATTGTATGTAAATTTCATGATGAATGGACCAACAGAAATGACCCAAAATTACTTGGAAAAAAGTCTGGTTCCATTGACTTACATTAAAAGTAGAGTGAGAGTATGTTTTTTCCTTCTCCTGTAAAGTTCTCAATTTGGTGATACAAGTTTTTTTTTGTTTTTTTTTCTAACAATAGCCATATCAACATTAACATATTTCTCCAGTAATAATAAATACATACATATGCGTTGACCAGCTACATTTGTCTTTAAAACCCATTTCAAGATTTTAGATATAAGCTCTTGGATTAAGAGGTCTTTATGATTATGAAAAACTTGCAATGCAAACAATTGTCTGATTTTATCTATTTTAACTAGTACTGCAAACATAACTGCGCAAACGTCAAAGATCACCCTTAATTTATTAAATTTCCAGTCAAAATGGCCATTATGTACAAGTTATTAATTTCAGGAGATATTTTGAGGAGATTGCGTAAGAAAGGGGATAGTCAAAGGAAAATGTGTGGGGAAAAAAACATGAGTTTCCAAAACTGATTATTAAAAGATGTAGAGAAACTAAGACTCTTAACAACCACACAAGACCTAGTAGACCACTAAACTGTCCCTGTCAAATTTCTATCTTAGAGAGAGCGAGATAATCAAGGCCAACTTGATCAAAGTTTTAGATCTGAAAACATCTGTCCATCCTTCCACTGTGAGAGGACAACTCAATACTATGAGTCTGTCAAGAAGCCGTTGGTGAGAAAAAGAAATAGACAAATAAGAAGTTTTGCGCTAGAACACTGAAGCCCAGACCTCGGCATTACTGAATGTGTTTGGATTACTTGGATTGTGAGATGCAGAAAATGCAACCGACTTCTAAGACTGAACTTTGGAAAAACACGCCTGCAGCTTTCTTTGAAAAACCAAAGCTAGTCTCTCAGAAAGAATGGAAGCTATAATGAAGGCAAAGGATGGGCACACTAAACACTGAAAAAATGTATGTTTTATGTTTGGTTGTTTTGTGTTAAACGTTTTTTTTTCTTCTGACACTGAAAAATGAGCAACATGTACTTGATATTAAATAAATAAAAGATGATGCCTGACTTTTGCACAGCACCATATGTTACTAGTGCTCTATACTGTACCTTCCATCAATCTTTCTTCTTCTTTTTTGCGCCTCCTGGGATGGAGAATGTGTTGAAAGCCTCTTTTCTCTAATTAGCTTACAGAGCAGTCTGCTTACACGCAGACGTTTATGACCAGCACATGCAATGTCTTTTTCTATAGATACCACACACACGATAACATAAGGAACACAGTAAAACACACAGTGACTTGAAAACAGTCTGCCTCTGCCTCTAATACACAAGCCTCCACAAGCTTCCTCAGACACGCGCTATAACAGCAGCTTAATGTTTCTTTGATCTGATTCTCACCCCATTAAGGTTTAATGCTAATGGAAATGTCTCAGCTTTTATTGGCTGAAACATAAAGAGGCAGATCTGATCGGATGTGCTTAGGGAAGCAGTGTAAGCTGACCGCATGTGTGTAGGATAAGAGCATGCACATCACCTAGAAAAGAGCAATTAGAGTAAAGGGGTGATTCACAGGTCAACGTTATATCACGCAAACACACGCACTCACTCCACGCTTTTACTTTTGCTTGTTCTCCTGCCAGTGAGCAAAATACCCCCCCAGAGCAGTCATTATTCGTCTTGTCTCTTGAGGGACATTTTGTACTTCTATAATGAATTTCCCTTATTTTCTCCCCTATTTTCTCCCCAATTTAGTCATATTCATTTCCACCCACTAGTTAGGACTCCCCCAAACACACAATACCACCAGTGCTAGGAGAGCCAGCACTTAGACGGTTGCACCACTCAGGAGCCCCAAGTCTGTTGTTCTTTTTTTTGTATATTTCCTTTTGTCAGTAAAGGGCATCTTGACATCTACACATCCCTTCAGAAATATTTCTTGAAAAAGAAAATAACTTTTTTGAACTGTTTAAATCTTTTGCAGTTAACTGCATGTATTTTCTTCTCAGTGATTTCCCAAACTGCTAAAACCTGCCTCTATATCAGAACTTCTAGCTCTTCTAGAGAAAATTTCTTCTTTATGGATCTGTTTTCCTCTGTCTCCAGCTGCTCAACACATTCCCTGAGTGGATCTGTTTATATGTGCATCCGCAATTCAAATGAGCCATTTGCGTGTGACGCCATTCAGGTTATAATAAATCAGTCATTAACTTGTGCCAGCTGTGCTCGTAAAATTGTAGCACATGATTCAGGTTTGTGCTGGCTCCTTAGTTAGTCTGGTCCCAAGTTGGCACTGGTTCCTCCCAGCAGGTATACCAGTCCTTACCAGTTGCCAGTTGATACCCAAAAATGAACAGCTTGTGCCAGCTTGGTCATCTCAATCTTGTTCTTTCTGGTGATACACCACAACTTGTAAACGCATGAATCATGGAACTTGCCCTAGTTTACAACTTGAATTTATGAGTTTGTCAGCCTTTCGAGTGCAACTTTGGAAAAGAGCTGCCAGTAGGAACTTTTGCTTGATCTGTAAATGATGCCACAGCCGTCCATGGCCTCGAGTTCAAGACAGCATAATTGGCTTCTCTCTCTCTCTTTGGGTGGGTAGGATGGATGGTCCTTCCTCTCCCGCATCACCCAGCGTCTGTTAACTGACATAACAGAATTGGCAATAATGCCACAAGTCCACTGCAACTTTGCTGTGCTGCATCCTGTTCATTCCAGTAAAGAGCTCTGACAGAACTGAGCGGTGCATTGCAATTGCGGTGCGTCAAAATTGGTCTGCAAATGAGTCCGGACTCGTCCACATTTTCAATGTGGCCAGAGTAATTTGCATAGAAATCTGATGAACTGCAATGAAAAGAATAGGGCTGCATTACACAAATCAGACAAGAGTAGACTGGTCTTTATGGCATTCTGGTGAAATCACTTTGACTTTATTGCTTGCAAATTGCACATTATGTTGAAGGAAGCATAGTTATAATGAATCCCAAATCGATCTTTTTATTTTTATTTCTGTGACTTGGCGCCAAACATGGTCAGCAAAAACAACACTGTTTTTGTTTGTTTGATGCAGACATTCTGTGAGTGTGTACCCAGCTCCTCCCAGCTCAAACACCGATGGTCAGACTCAGACACAGTCAGACAAACACCGCCCAAGGTAAGGGCTTACACACGTCCACACGCACATTTCTCACAGGCACACTTGCTGCACAATGTAGACAAAATACCATATTGTGGTCATATTGCTACGTAAAGAAACTGCAAAATGCAATGCTATATATCATAAATGCCTTCATCACATGATTACATGATTAAAGACAGCTATGCATTACGCTTTTTGGATCATGCGATTGCCTTGATTCATCAAACTGCTCAAAAAACTTTAGGGTTTGAAAATGGTTAGGATTTTCATAGCATACAGTACTAGAGATAATGTTTTGTAAGAGGGTTCTTTTGTATTGCAGCCTTCAGTGATACCAGTATATAAGGGCAATATTGCAATACCAGTAACTAAATGATATATTGAGCAGGTCTAATGCAGAAGTGAAAAAGTCTAGGCAGACATAAAGATGTTTTACTAATAATCTTGTGTGTTTTCTACCAGTAAAAACAATATGATGTGAAAATTAACATACATATCATCACTGCCCAAAATAAAGAATCTCCAAAAATGGTACTTTTTTTTTAAGTCAGTGTTATAGAAGGAAACAAGATTGATTAGCTGAAGCAGGCTTTAGATGCTAACTTTGTGTTGGATTTTCTTGATAAGTCTTGACATGGTTAAGCTAACACACTGGCAGACATAAAATCACATTGTACAGTCATACGCAAATATCGGACCATTTTCAAAAAACGTTGATTTTCTAAGTTAAAATGAACAGACTTTACCATATTTTAATGCAGAACAATTGCTGTTTATTTGCTGAATTTAACAAACTGGGGACAAACTGGAACTGGAACTGTAACCTGTAAAAAAAAAAAAAGAAAAACTCATTTTATGTTTTTTTTTTTTGTTTTTTTTTTCTCCAGAACATATTAAACTTAGCAAAAAAATTTAGAAATTGTCCACTAAACGTGGCAGAAAAATTGCATATTTAGGTCTGTTAGTGGTTATTTGTAAAGGATTTGCTTTTCTACTTTCAAAATTCTACTTTTAAAACACAACATAACAAAATTCTACTTTTAAAATTCAACATAACAACTTTTTACCTTGACTTCTATCTTTATTTACTCTGTTAGTGTTTCTTTTGTCAATAAATGCTTAAGTCCTTGTCCGAAACATCTGCAGTACAACTGAACTATAGAAGTATAAGCTTGAACTCTCTCTCTTGTGCTCTCTTTAGCTCTCTCTCTCTCACTTACCCATTCTCACACTCTTACTGAATGCTAAATGAAGGATTAAATCTTGCCTCACAATGCTTCTGAATCACTACAACGACAGAGAAAATGATTAGTACATATTATTTTCCAAAATTTGGTTAGGAGATGTGAAGGTTTCTCTCTCTCTCTCTCTCTCTCTCTCTCTCTCTCTCTCTCTCTCTCTCTCTCACACTCACACACACACACACACACACACACACAGACTTATGCCATGCGTAATTCCATCTCACTGATAAAACTAAAAAGGTGTTTAGTGAAGAAAGCAATGATTACAGTGGGTTTGTTTGTTTACACTGAAATATCCTCCTTGAGTCATAGGGGCTGTTTGGTAGACTCATTTTCTTTCAATCTCTCTCTCTCTCTCTCTCTCTCTCTCTCTCTCTCTCTCTCTCTCTGTATTTGAAGCCTCAGGAAAACAATATCAGCTAAGAGATTTGAATGTTATGCTATCATGGGGGTGTTAGAGCTTATATTTCATTTCTATATTTTTCATTAAGGCAAGCTATCCACACATTGTTCTAGGCATAAAATAAAACATATTTCATAACTAAATGAAACAATGATGCCTCCATTCAGACATGCTTCTAATTCCAAAAGGTCTAGAGAAATCTAGCTTACCCTTTTGTTTGTTTGTTTGACTTTTGGACTGTGTTTCCATCTTTATTGGAATCACCTAACTTGTATATCCTCTCACTCGCCATTTTATTGGGAACACCTAGCTTGTACTTCCACTTACTGGTCACTTTGAGACAAAATTACCTTGTAAGTCTGCTCACTGGCCACTTTATTAGGAACACCTATCTTGTCCTTCCACTCACTGACCACTTTATGAGAAACACCTACCTTGTACTTCTGCTCACTGGCCACTTTATTAGAAACACCTACCTTGTCCTTTCACTCACTGACCGCTTTATTAGAAACACCTACCTTGTCCTTTCACTCACTGGCCACTTTATGAGAAACACCTTCCTTGTAAGTCTACTTACTGGCCACTTTATTTGAAACACCTGCTGTATAAATCACTATATTAGTGTGCAATTGCACACTGTAACACACCTATTTTCATGCATAATTTCTCAGCTCTCCTCTTCCCCATTCAATTTCTGACCACAGGACAACTGACCAGATGACGTTTGGGTGGTGGTTTGTTCTCAACACAGCAGTGACACTGACGTGGTAGTGTGTGTGGTGCTGGTATGAGACACAGGGGTGTTGCTAGTGTTTTTGTACATATCAGTGTTAGTGCTAGGTTGGCAGTGGACTATTACCCAAAAATATCTAGCCAAAACTGGCTCTGTGGTAAGAAACTGACCATTGATGAAGGGCTAACACAAGTTGTGCATCAACAGAAGGTAGACATTCATAATGAAGTGTCAAGTGAGTGTTTTGCAATACTGTGTACATCTTCCAAAAATAAAGACTACATGTTGTCTGAATACCTACTTTGACTTCTGTATTTAGTACTTTACTCAGTTTTCAGCCTTTCTTCAGTATTTTAGAGAAGTGGTTCAGTGGAAACATCAGATTTACACAAATTTCCTCTCATTCCTGATGTAGACAGTCTACCTAGACATTTTTGGTCTCCAAATTTTGCTCATTTAGTTTAGTGCTGGAGCTATGGGGCTAACCTTGCTAGCAACACTAGAAGTCAAAAATCACCCAGATCTTTTCCATAAATCCCTAAAACTTCTCTCATTCTGCTCAAACCACATCCAGCTCTTTAGTAAAGTTGATGTGGTTTAGGGCACAGTATGACTTCAAACTATTAAACTATCAAATGAACAAAACTTCACCATGTAGCTGAAAGTAGGAGGCAATTTCAGTGACTGTTGACTTCTAGTGTTTGTTAGCTGTAGTGCTAAATTAAAGAAATAAAATCTGGGCACCAAACATGTCTTGGCTGATAAGCTACATCGGAGGTCAGTGGAAAATTGGTTAAGTTTGATGTTTTTGTCTGTTTGTTTTTTTTATTTATTTATTTATTTTTAGTTTTTGCCAAATCAATCCATGAGCCACTTAGCAATAAAGGATAAACTAGATAATAAATTCATGGGTTAAGACACAATTGAATATGAGAAGCCAAGACTAAAAACAATTTGGGCTATTTTACCATATTATTTATTTATTTATTTTACCATATTATTTAAGTCCTACATCTAATTATATCTAATTTTGTGTAAATTGCTGCCCATCCATAACACACACATTTTATCTTCTGTTTTTTGGCCATATTCCTATTTGTATGGAGGCACTCCCCTCTGATTTATACTGTATCTCATAACAGCTGAAGTGTCCAAGGCTTATGAATATTTTAAGCGGGAAAAATGTTTCTCACAACCACCGACACACCCCCATCTGCTCGGGTATCTACTGAGCACACTCATACACACAATGCTGACAACTCATATTTCATTATGTATAAGGCGTAGTAAATAAAGTACATGTGTGCGAGACACAGAAAAGGAGATACTGTTATTGCAATGTCATTACAGTGTCATTACAGTTTTTCAGTCTCCAATCCAAGTAAAATACAATAGAAATGGAGGGGAATAAAAATACCTTTCAGTCCAATGTGTCTGCTGGATACAGCAGTAGGACATGAGAAAAAAGAAAACTCAAAACAGTGACAGAAACTGTTAAACTGAAGGCTTAATCCCTCTCTTTGTCCACATAAGTTCACTCTCTCACTGTCCTTCTTCTGGAAGATTAACACATGATTCCATTACTGTAGTTTTCCATCAACATGAATGAAACAGCTGCTCCGTGCCAATGGACCCTCAGGGTACATGGGATAATCATGCACACTTTAAAAGAAGCTTTTCTAACATTCTGCACTGAGTTGCATCAAGTGGTGTAAGCTTTGTGTAGCTTTCAAAATAAAGCCAGATTAACACTGATTTATAAAGGAAAGCCACAGAAAATCTACATCAGGGTTTCATCATAGCAAGTGCGCTATATGGCATGCATATAATGCCTTATAATGTATGGCATAAACCTGTATAATTACTGATGAGTAGTGCCTAACAATTTATAAAGCATGAGCGTTTGACTTTATAATGCTAGGTTTTATAAAACATTATAATATCTGCTCATTAGAACACTGTAAACATGAATGTTGTAGTGCACTACAACAAAGTTCTGGTATATTTTCTGTGTAACACTCAGGCCCGTTACAACAGCTAAAATAAAGCAGCACTTGAACAAATCTTTTTATACGTTTCATTTCTTTCTGTTTTTTGCTAACTGGTAACTGAACAGATATTATGAACCGATAAAATGTCTTATGGAGCTTGACTTTAAGTCATATGCTCTTGCTTTATAAAGTGTTATAAAGCGCATGTAATTATAACTACTTGAGAATAATTGCTGTATTTCTGGCAGGTATTGTAAGTATTATGTATGCCATATAATGCCTTATAAATGCATTTTAAAAGCATTACAAATATAGGACTCATAGGAAGTGTTATCCAAGTTTGTGTTTTTGTTTGTGTGATTGCTTGTTTGTTTTTGTTTTTTGCTTAGAACTAAGCTGACAGTAGTTGTTAAGATTGCTGTAATTGCTAACTGACATGCCTTGATGAAAAGCTAGTTTAGCTGTGGGATTCAAGTGAAATGGTTTACATTCCCAAAATGAATCAGTAATAGCTCCTCAAGGTCTATAATTTTAATCTTGGTATCTGTTGATCTAACACCTAGGAGAATGTAGATCCTGCAGTCGGCTGAACAGATACTCAACATTGCTGGATGTGTTTTTAATGAAAATTATGTCATGTTAGT